GCTATAATTGTGAAAACATGCAAACTGTGGGGTTTGTTTATATAGAGAGAAGAGAGGCACCTAAGTGAGAAGTTAAACTTGTGCTCTAAGTTGCTCCATCTCCATATCCACCACTCATTTGTTGTAAAGAGGAAATTTAATTAACAACGTCTACTTATGATTTAAGTATCGAAAGGAGAAAACAAATTAAACCAAGCGAAACTTACATTCAATTTCCTAACTAAAATTAAAACATTACAATATGAAATTTCGATGCATCTTCGTCATTTCATAAGAGTAAAATATCTTGTTTATTTATTTGGCGAATGAGAAGGCGCCAACTTGGGAACTAAGGCATTACAGGGAACCCATAAGCCCAACATTCGAAATTTTTTATTTTACTATATATTATCTAATGCATTGGCAGGGATCTAACTTCATTTTTTAATTTAAGCTTATATTTTTATACATAAAAATGTTCTCTATATATATGATAGAAACGAGGAGGAAAAATGATAAAGCGAAATAGAACAATGAACATTTAATGGAAAAAAAAAAAATTACTAAAACAACTTTAGAAAATAAGTTAATTACTAGAACAACTTTAATTTAACCTTAAAACTCAACACAAGTTATAAAAGATAAATAAACCTTAGTAACAAGTTTTTATTACGAAAATACCATTCATAATTATAAAAAGAAAAAAATAATCAAACTTGTTTGAAACCGCGGCCGCGGAAGCGGCAGAAACACCGGATCTGCTCGGCGGAGGTGTGGAGGCTGCGGAAACACCGAGATTTAGGTAAAAATCGGATTAAAAATCAAAAGTTGAAAAAAAAACTCAAAATTTTTGGATTTTTTTTTGTTAGAAAATGCATATATGATATTAGATCTACTAGTTTTAGGCAAAATCCAGTTGAAAACGAATTAAAATACAGTAAAACGAGCTAAAAAGTGGATGACCGCCATTGTTAGGGTTTGAGAGAAGATTGATGTTGTGGAGAAGATGAAGGATAAATTACGATTTTACCCTTTATTGAATAAATCTACCACTATTATAAATAAGTCTAC